TCGCTTGGGAACGGCGGAGAAGGTGAAAGGGGTGGAGGGAGTGGGGCCGCAGCTCTCGCGTGGGGCGGCCGCGCCTTGCTCTTGCTCGCGCGGGTGTCCACGATGAAGACGAGGGTGTTGTTGTCCTCGATCTTCTTCATCGCCGACTCGGTCGTCAGCGGGTATTTCAGGATCTGGTACTGGTCCAGCTTGTTGACCCGCGGCACCGAGCGGCGAGAGTACTTGGGCTCACGCTGCAGCACCAGCGTCTTTGGCCGGTGGAACTTGGTGGACTTGCGGATCTTCTTGGACCTCTTGGACTTGGTGCCCGTGGCGAGCGCCTTTGCGGCCTTCTTGGCCTTCGCCTCGCCCGCCTGCCGGGAGGGCGGCTGCGGTTTCAGCGGAGTGGCCGCAGGAGTGGCCGAGGCGCGAGCGGGGAGCGGGGTGAGGCATCCGACAAGGGTACGCAAGCCGCCAGCGGCACGGCCAGCGCCCCGCAGGACGGCGCCCCTCCCCCGCCGCTCCTTCTGTGCGGCGTGGTGTGTGCTGCTGGGCAAGGTTTGCTGCGAGCACCATAGTCCACGAGGGGAAGGGCCAGAAGAAACCACTCCCCCCGCCTCGCGCCTGGCCGGATGGGGATGGGCCGCTCAAAGCCTGCAACCTCGAGCGTCGGCTCGTCCACCATTGCGCCGGTGCTGACAAGCATGCCATCAGTGCCCCCGGCATCGATGCCAATCACCGTTTTGCCATTTCAACAGGGTGCCAGATTGCACTGCTGTTCTGCTGCGCACTGAGAGAGAGAGAGATTTTTAGCAATACCAAACAACTCTAACACTCACACGTCATTTGGGGCCTGGAGCCCTGTTCACGCGCGCGCGAGACGTGCAGACAGGGTTGCCAGGTGAGAGCGAATGGCGTTGTTTGTTTGTCGCACTGATAAAGAGGTCGAGCACATCGTACATCCGCAGCACGCTTCCGTGCTCCACCGTTGGGAAGCTTCGCGGTTGCTGAAGGTTCCAAAGCTGCGCCTCCGTACAAACTTGTTGGAGAGTGTGAACTCAAACCTACTTCCTGACCGTAGCCTGACCGTCCTTGTGGAACCGTGTCTCATGCTGTTGGTTTGTCCTGCCGCGCACATTGTCATCGACTTGTATCCATCCGCCGCATGTTGGTGCCGCATGTTGGTGCCGCCGAGTGTGCGCCGAAAGGCGCAAGAAGCCGCGAGAGCAAGGGACCAGCAGGAGGCGGCGGCGCCGCAGAACGAAGCAGAGGAGAGCGACGCGACAGAAGAAGAAGAGACAAGGGAAAGAACGACGAGAAGGGGGCGACCGCGAGGTGGCATGAAGGTCGCAGCGAGAATCTGCGAGAGACTGCGAAGAGAGATAGGAAGAGGCGGACGCCCAAGGGTGGGCGACGGCTAGCGCATCACACCCCTCTCCTTAAAATCCCTGTGTGGTGGCGGCGTGCCGTCCTCATCCCTCCCTTGGGTTGTCTGTTTTCTTTCTTTCTTTCTGCCGCCGAGTGTGTATCCTATGCGAGAGATCCCCTGTGCCCTGTGCCCAGCCCCCTCCTCGCGGCGATGCGCCCTCCGCCCTCGCTTTCGCAAAATCCTGCAAAGGTGGGGACGTGTCCGTCCTCATGACGCATCGCTCTCGGGCCCACAGACATCCCGCACACCCGCCGCCCCCGCGCGCGCCCCACCCCGGCCGGGAGAAAGGGGAGTCTTCTGATAATCGCAGTATGGAAGATACAAAGAGACGGAGGAGCAACGAGCGCCTTGGCGTGAGCCAAAGATACTCCCAGGGGAGTGAGAGCAGGCGGAGGGCCCTTGAGAATCGTGCTTTTGGGTTAGGAATGAAGGCGAAGGACCGATTACGGTGAAGGACCGCAGGTTAGGGACCGATCGCCGCCGCTCACGCCAGCGGACGGTCGTCGTCAGTGATGTCAGCTCTACGCCACCGTCTACCTCGTGCGACATGCGCTCGCCGGCTTCGAGCGAGCAACGTGTTCGACCGACCGGCTTGCTGTGCGGACGGCTTCTTGTGGCTCTCGTCGAGAGCGTTTTGCGGCCCGGCGTGTGGGAGAACATGCACATGTGCATACATGCACATGTACATGTTGTATATGTGTCGTTTGATGTGTCACTGTGTACGTCATGTCAGTCTTGATAACAAGTACGGTCGATCCGTCAAAGCGATACACTCGTCACGATCACGTTGGACGGCTGGCACGGAGCTCTGTGCCGGCACACAGGAAGAGCCGTGCTGCAAGAAGAGCTCGATGGGGAGTGAGAACCGTCAGAGGAGGTTCAGGGGTAACCTGAGTCCTCCGTGACGCGCTCAATCGCTCCCAAGCGGGTGGCTCTCGAAAATCGTCGATATCTTCCGAAAAGACTGCTCTTGCCGCAGAGCAGCCGACGCGATGCAGATACGGAGGCGCAGAAAGGCTACGAGTACTCAACGAGTTCCGCGACCTACGCAGTCAAGCCTGGGGGGAACTGACCGCATCAAGGCGGACTTCCGACACCTCCGTGAGCACCTTTGGCGATTCTCGCTCCCCATCGAGCTCTTCTTGCCGTCGGCTCTTCCTGTGTGCCGGCACAGGAGCTCCGTGCAAGCCGTTCAACGTGATCGTGACGAGTGTATCGCTTTGACGGATCGACCGTGCTTGTTATCAAGACCGATGTGACGTACACAGTGAAAAACACCGATGGTGGCCGTCCGCTGGCGTGTGAGCGGTGGCGATCGGTCCCTAACCTGTCGCTCGCGGTCCCTAACCCAACAGTGGTCCTTCGCGCTTTGGTCCCTAACCAAAAAAGCACGATTCTCAAGTTGGGCCCTCATTTTGCGCACATCGCTTCCAGGGAGGGGGGCGCGCTTCTATTCACACCACATGCTAGGGGGGGGGTCCGACCCCCTCCCCAGAGGCTTCAGCACATGCATCATGCTAGGGGGGGGGTCCCGACCCCCCCAGCACCTTCACCACATGCTGGGGGGGGGTCGTGGCCGAGGACCCCCCCCCGAGACTCGTGGTCAGACCCTCCGGGCCCTTGATTTTACGCCTCATTTCGCAGTATTTTCGAGAGGAAAATCATCCTTTGGAGCTACATGAGCCTTGAGACTGGTCAGGTTATCCAAGATATTGGAGTTTCAGCCACGATTTCACAACTTTGGGGGCAAAATCGGCTCTCTGGCGGCAATTCCTAGCCCACAAACTGCTGGGGGGTGCCCACCACATGCTAGGGGGGGGGTTCGACCCCCCCACGACGGTGAAGACCCTCGCCTCGCTTGGCGCCAACCTGAACCTGCAGACGGTGGACGGGTGCACCGCCATGTACATCGCGTGCCAGTACAACAAGCCGCACGCCGTCTGGGCTCTCGTCTCGGCGGGGGCGGACTCCAACTTGTCTCGCCCGGAGGGCGCCTTCCCGGCGTACGTGGCTGCGCAGAACGGCCACGAGGAGTGCCTCCGCATCCTTGCCTCCAGCGGTGCCATCCTCACGCCGCGCACCAACCGCGCCGGGATTCTCTGGTCGCCACGCGACGCCGCGGCTTACCAGGGCCACTACAACATCGTTCGAGTGATCGACTCGCACCTTAACCCCTCCTCCTTGGCCCCGGCACCTCCGTTCCCCCAGGTTGCACCAAGGGATTCTGCCAGCGAGGCGATGTCCTCGTCGATCTCTTGCCATGTCGCGGCGCCATCCACCGAGGCCGCCTCAGCTGCCGCGGATGACCAAGAGGAAGAAAAGCGCAAGGCGTACTTTGAGTGGGCAATATCGACGAGGAACGTGGATGAGGCGCGCGCCGTTGCGTTGACGAGTGAGGACTACACTCGCATCGACG